ACTCTTTTATTTACTGCCTTTTTCTTCTTAATGGCAGGGTATGTTGTGAAATATAACTCGTATGAAATGCTGAGATATTTGCAAAACTCCGGACCACAGGTGTATGCAGTGGGAAAAGACCACGCGCTGCTCCCCGGTAAGGACAACAGCGCGTGTTCGTTCCCCACTGCATACACCTGTGGTCCGGAGTTTTGCAAATATCTCAGCACTTCATACTACTAACTAGATAAATATCCTGGCGGATTGCTCCCACTCGAAATGCAATCTACTGCCAATTTTTTCAGCACTTTTTCTTGAAATGACTGCATCCCCACCCATGTGATGGCCTGTATAGCATTGTTCGAGATTGTTTTCACCACCCACATATGTCGGCAATCCGTATTCATCAACCTGCGTGAAGCAATTAGCACCAGGAATTAACGCCCAGCTGATGAGATGCGTTCACGGTCATTTCACTGCCTATACGACCCACATAATGATTGAGTCTGTGAAGCTATGTCAAGGCAGAAAGAAACATGAATTCATGGAAAATAGGAATTCTTTCTTCTCTTCTTCACCCCGTGGTGGCAGTGGTTAGAGGTGTTCTGAAAAACACACGTAGTCGTTGGTTCGATCCCGTGTCCAATGTCAACTAAGCTTTTCATCCCGCCGAGGTCGGCAAACTGCTATCAGATTTGTCTAGCGGGTTAGCAGCACTGATCTGATAGATCGTTAGGCCACTGCAAGTCAATGTATAAACCAAGTATGCATTGAACCCTCTCTAGCGGTGCTTGATGAAATCGAATGCCTCGTACAACCTTTAGGGAATGATCAAATCCGAAAACTTTTTCCTTTATCCTTATCCTTCATCACTCCCATATTGCCATCTCTTTACGACGTTCACTTGCTTCTGTTTATTTGAGTATTGGCTCGTACGACATGACAGACGATAACCGTGAATACGGTACGAATCAGTTCTTGATGAGCAGTACTGAGTCTCATATGGACTTCTTTTACACTTGGAAACTGCAATGTAATACAAAGATAATCGAATAAATATACTGCTACCTTACAGTCACCATATAACGATGACAGGAAACTTATAGTGCGTCGTTTACACTTTCGCATAACGTACTCTAAGGAAGGGAGAGAAGAGAAGAGAAGAGAAGAGAAGAGAAGAGAAGAGAAGAGGAGGAGGAGAAGGAGGAGGAGGAGGTGGGGTGGTGAGAGAGGTTGGCTGAGCAGGTACTGGAAGTTTAGGACACTATCCCATACAAAAAGTTAAAACAAACCTGCAAACCATTTCTTCATGGAAAATTACCAAAGGAACAGCACCAAATGCAGTGAAGGCAACACGAGATGCTTGTTATCAATGAAAGGGACGGCGAATGGAACACCATTGAAGGCAGAAGACACCGTGAGAAGACTGATGAGATGGAAAAAAGTGACAACTTGTGTCAATACAACTTCTAGCTGCACAACACTGCAATCGTTACAGTTAGGTCAATTTGAAGGACGAGAATGGTGGAAGTAGAACGAGTTTCAGTTATGTGGTCATACGTACACAAGCAAATATGTCTACTTTCCAAATCACTTTGTCGAAATTCGGGCGGATTTTTACGCTATCGATTCCTATAGGACCGATATTCCTTATTATGCACTAACCTGTTAAGATACTGGTTTGAAAAGAATGGGTTACGTTAAATTTGGACTATTCTTAATGGCATTCGCATTAATAACCATTCCTCACGCCTCACAATGTCTACCTTAAAGCCTCCTTGAAAGCTACCCAGTGAAAACAATGAGATAGATCACGGATTACCAGACATAAATACGAAAAAAGAGCAATTAATTAATAACCACAATGATGCTGAGATACTTGCAAAAGTGCGGACCGCAGGTGTCTGCGGTGGCGATCGAACCCGTTACTACCGTTACTATCCTTTCCGAGGGCTAACGTGCTCACCATCACATCATACAGGTCCTTCGTTTCGTCTTTCTCGCAGCTAGTTTTCTATCTAAAAATGTCATCAGCAATCACCCTTCAGCGGAATTGATTTACGGGCACAAACCGACATTGAACCCAGTTAAGCTGAACTGATTGATGATGTCGCTGTCAGGTAGAAAACTAGTTAAGAGACTGGCGAAACGAAGGACCCGCAGGGTGTGGTGGTGGACGCGTTGGCCTCGAAGAAGGTAATAGTGTGTTCGATCTCCACCGGAGACACCTGGGTTCCAGAATTTTGCACATATCTCAGCATCATTTTGTTTGTTTCACATAATGCCTTTGAAAATTGTGGTAGGCAGTAAATAAAAAGTAAACAGTAATTAAATACTTTGAAGGACAAGATGTACTAAATGTACGATGATATGTAAAAGCATATAAAGATATACAAAATGACGTCATGAAAATGAATACGTCGTGGGAAAATATTGATTGAAGTCAGGCATGAGCTATCGTTGTTACCAGTAATGCCACTTCTTCACCGAAAACCACAAGGAATCACACAAAAGACAAATGAGACACCATAAGAGAGCAACAATAGGATACAGGAAATCATAAGGAAAGCTAAATAGTGAAGGATCTTCCGAAGAGGAGGAAAAAGAAGAAAAACGAGGGCCTTCAACTATCCGACACTTAACGCAAAACTCTCGGAGGGCTTGCTTTTCCAGAAATGTATTGCTTCAATTTTTTTTTACCCATACAACAAAATGAAAACAAGGGAATGTGACTGATGGTGGAAACCGTGGACTTTTTCAGAACAACTATGGATGAAGTATAAGTAGAAATGCTTAAAATACTAGTTATTCATGGATCAATCCTGAAGAATTGTGAACCACTATGAAGAATCTTCGGCTCGGTTCCCCAGAGATCAATAGCTTTGTTCTAGGACCACGATGCAATAAAACTCTGTCGAGTGGAAGAAACAGTTCGTTTTTCTGGCTTCGGATTCGTTTACGACAGATGAATCGCCGAGAGCTATCAACATCGCAAACCGATTCGACATAAGGAAATGAAAGTCGAATTTAACTAGACTTTAAAACCGTTAGTGCAATTATTAAGTCCTTAACTAGAAAATCTCGAAAACAAAGGGAAAACATGAATCCAGAAATGACAAGACCAAAAGTCTGAGAGAAGCAACTGAAGAGGAGAGCACTATTTTGGCAGTGGAGCACAACATCATCGTAGATAAAAGCACGACAAGCCGCTCTGTGGAATGTCGTCGTGCCAACTATCGATCGTCACTAAACGTCATTAAACCATTGTCTGAATAGTGTCGAAACACCCCTACTGTATTCACATTAACTTTTATGACTACTATTACTACTAGTAATCTCGTTAATCACAGAGCAATTCGAACCGACATCAATAACGTCTTTATTCATACATGTCGCACCCTAAAGCTCACTGTTGAATTTTGACTGCTTATTAGAAACATCACGGTTCCCTAATGAGCCCTTTCTTTTTCTGTTTTTGGCGAAAAGAGAGCCATGGCTAGCCCTCTTTGCCGGACTGTGGCATAGCTTCACTCTTGTCTAGAGTTTTGAATGGAAGTGCTGAACCCCTTCTGGGATTAGGTGTCTCAGCTGATATCCAGTGAATATTTTCCAGGCCGTAAACCACTCCTTCTTATAAATCCTCAGTACTAGTGAAAAGATTTGTGGGTCGTTCTTCGTTTAAATAATCGCAATCTATCACATTAATCATCATTGCTTACCATTTCATTTCATGGTAAAACATTTTTCATTCTTGTTTCCTTTAAAATCTCATCAAATTTAGTATAATCTAGTCCTTCTTCAGGCTAGAAAGTTGGGTAAATGATGCTTAACTTCAACGGTAGTGTCTTGGTAGGAAATTAGTTTCTTCTTCGTCCCTCTTTGTCCCAAAAGTTTAGTAGCCTAATCGATAAACGATGAGGTTACCCACTAGCGAGTACAGTAATATCTGAGGAAAGAAACTATATTTATGTGTAAATATGGGGAGAGAAAAGATGTGAAGTTCATTTTGACCAATATTACCACAACGTAATGGCTATAGTGGGAAAATTGCTAGTTGAGTTTCGTGACGACTCAGTAATGAATGCAGGTAAACATAGTCAGGCCAGCACAGCAAAACATTTGACTCCCCACATCAACCAACCAACCAACCCAGTCCCGGTCTCAGTCTCACCGGCAGTCCGAATTTACTGCTCTCTTCAATTCTCCATTAAGAAGAAACAACTCACCTCTTGTACAGCATCTGTTCTTGTTCTCCTAAATCATTGTCTTCGTTAGGTTCACGTAATCTGAAACAGCTCATTGATATCATCATAGTTTTCGATAACATCCACCTTATCGATCATAATAAATGAAAGAAATGACGACATGTCATAGCACCTTCTGAAGAGACAATAAGCGGCTAGTCAAACAAGCTGACCATTCTAGCTGTGAAGCAGTTCTTAACTAACTGGTAACTTGCAGAGGGTTTAAGCCACACCTTAGCTAGCCCTTCTTCGGTTTGTGCTATCTTGAAGTTATAGACGGTTTCAGAACATTTTCTTCTGGTCAATTCGGAAACCCGTCTTGTCGTCCTTTGTGATACTTGTTCTTCTTAGTTTCGTTTTTCAAATACGACCTTTAATTCGTTTCCGGATACGGTTTAAGAGATCTTTGTGACTTCTCTAGACTTCAAATATGGCCTTAATATAACTTTATAGTAGAGAGAACACTTCAAATAGTAAGAGGGAATGTGCGACAAAGAGAAAGAGGAGGATTGAAAGTCAAAGATTTGATGAGAATGACCAAATCTGTCGTGTTACCTTTCCTACAAGAATTCTGCATAATGTTCAACCACACGTTAAGCCCCAGACAACACTGTGTAGGCAAAAAATCAGTGTATCTCAGAAATTTCGGAATGACCAGAGATTAGAAACGATATATAGACACGGAAAGGAGAGGATTAATCGGTATAAGATTAATTACGAGGCGTTGAGGAGTGCGTGTGGCTAATTTCTGGATGAATAAAACAGAATCGGAAGGGACTATACTGATGGAGAGGATGAGGGACGGACGGATGAACGAGCTGATTCAGGACCGGCTCCCGGTTCCTCCGCTCCGCTAGAAGAGCACTTCTTTTCTCGACGCGAGTTCACGTCGCTGATTTTCACGCAGAGTGCACCAACTAATCCGCTTCGAGGGAAATTGTCGTCGTCGGACTCGAAAATGAAATCTTTCAGCGGAGCGTTTCGTCGATAGCGTTTTAATAGCACCCCGTTCTTATTGCCGCTATCAAAGCGAAGCAAAGCTGCTGTCTGAGAGAATAACATTCTGGATGACCCACAAAAACATCGCAGTAATTTCTTTTAGTTCCAGAATAGCAGCGTATCGATTAGAAATTTTCTTTCAAAGAAACTCAATTAGTAACAAAAACGATTTCGAAGGATTCTTGTGAAGATCGTCTGACTAATGTGGTTAAGTTCCATCTGTTCTGCTTTATGGATTCATTGAATTCAACACTAGCAAAAAGAAGTATTGTATTGATTAAGACGATGTGGAAGTTAAAAAACCATTAGAAGAAGAACAAACTAAAATGCTATTGGTCAGGCGTTGAAGAAGGGAAGGAGGTCCATTGATTCCTCAATGCATACTATATGATTGGGGCCAAAGTCATAGGATGTAAATGAAAAACTGCACCGGTTTGAAACCGCTCTACGAACGGAATTCATTTCTTGACGGATGCAGACACCGTGGAGAGTCAATTAATCTTCTAGATTCTTTTCTTGTGACATCGATAGGAAAAACTACGTCAGTATGAACAGATTCTGAAGGGAGTTGAGAAAATGAGAGAAGAAAACTGGAGCAGGGAAGAATAACGATGAAACGGATCAGTTCTGTAGGAAAAGACGGCGAGAAGAAAAGAGGTTTGTCAAAGAACAACCTAAGAACACGACTACATAATCCAGAAAAGTTCGATTTCAGTACAGAAGAAATTATTGCGAAACGATGTCGGAGGTTTTGACGAGCTGTAGCCAAGTGAGAAACAACAATTCAATCTGCGCCAGTTCGATCTCGAGGCTCAGACTAACGCCATCTGCTATTGCTGCTGCTGGCCGTTTCCTATAATTATCACGGAAAACGCCCAACATCTATACAAGTATGGTTATAACCCATTTAGAATTAATTCGTCGTAACCATAATAATGCTGAGATATGAGCAAAATCGGGAACCTCAGTGAGGCTTCAACACGTGGTTGTCCTTTCCGGGGGTAATCGCAGGTTCGAAGTCCGACTAAGGTTCGAGTTTCGCTCGTATCTGATCATCATTGTGGTTATATATCACATCATACTCTGCCATGAAAAAAGAACAGGTAGTAAATAAAAGTTGAAGCATTGTAATTCATCGTAGTCTCTTGCAAAAGTTTTTTCTTGTGTTTTAGTCGTAGTGGAAACCATAGAACGGACAACTTCTTGAATTGTTCGTAAGCCTACAAAAACGGGGTGTAGTTGAATAGTTATACCAGGAGGCTTCAAAGAACATTATCAGATCATTTTAACTCTAGTTCTTAAGTATTCAAAAGACTTTCAGCAATTTTATGTTTATGGAACCATGTTCTACATTAGAGATAGGTTCTGGTTAGAAATTCATCAAGAAATGGCAGAAAGCAGAGAATGTGACAGAATGAGATTCCTAGATTCCTACTCGTCTTTGTTCAAGGACGACAAATCGTGGAAAACAAGTGACTCGTCGTGGATCACTGGCTGGCCTAGGCCTTCGAACTGAGTCTCTAATAAATCGGTGATCGTCTGGTGTCGGCTCTGTTAACACTTATTGTTCCGTAATAATTTCTTATTTGGGAATATTCCTGTCCGCATATAACCGTAAGAGGGAAATTCGTCTTAATTTATCTGGTGTTGGTCTTGTATACATTTCTTTCCTATAATTTTTCTAAACACAATTATATTCCCCTCCCTGTAGAGACTACGGGAAGGGAGGACAGTCCTCCTAGTGCATTCCGAGTGAAGTTTGCAAAGAAAACCTAGTCTTTCGTTTTTTGTTTCCTCACAATTTCAAAAACAATGAAAGCTGAACTTGTGCTTCTTCCCAAGATAAATGGAGATTGATAGGTGTCGTATAAAAGCCGTTGGTGGTAGGGTAGAGAACGACAGCTGAATGTGTGTGGTGTCAATTGGCGACATTAACATAATCGTGCGGTGGCTTCGGCTGAACCACCACTACCACGACGTTATGGCATCCCCGTTTGAAGGCCCAGGGTTTTTGAAGAGCTGCAGCAGAAAAAATAGTTTGTTCTTTACATGCAGTAAAAATGATTTGTATAAGTGGTGAGACTCAATGCTGACAAGTGAGTGCATGGTGTCGATTGGAGAAATCAACATAAACGTGGCACGACAGGGGCGGTACCACCACCACCACCACCAGTACGATGACGTTTTGACACTCTCGCTTGAAGGACCAGGGTTTTCGGGGGTTGTTGGGAGATTGAAGCAAAACAAATTTTTCTATGTGGTAGAGGTGGTTTGTGTGGCTAATCAGCTTCATCATTGAGTGGTTCAGTTAGAAGTGCTTTTCTTCTTACCTTAGGGCCTTTTTCTTTGCCATAAAGAGAAATGTTTCGGCACTGCAGAATTGAATTCGTCGTTTAACTGAGCACTTTCGGCTTTTGATTCGTGGCGATTTAAAATATTATGCCCATCAATAAAAACATGCTCTGTGACATCCATTGAAGGTCTCCGCCTCTCTGGTTTTTATTCCTTTTCCTTCTCTTTCCATTCAACTACTAAACTGTATTTATTTGGGTAACTTCTCATTAAATGAATGTTAGTATCATGTGAGAGAACTCTCTGGATGCGTTATTCCTCGTTTCTGTGAAAAATCGTCCTTACTGAAGCACTGAAACCAGCCAACACCTTGAACGCTGCCACCGATGGTAAGATGTTTTTGGAGCCTGCAATTATAAAGATTAGCTAAACTTACTGGTGTTTTCCATCAGTTTTTCCAGGAAAATGTATATTATGGAAATTCATCATTTCTGTCATTAAGAATTCCTAATTTTGACCTACCTTTCGTACTGATTTGATGGTCCTGCTCCGAAAGATTTAGAGTATTCTTACTGTAGGCAGTGTTATGTTGTTATAAATGACATTAGAAATGACAATTTTTCAGAACCTATCGTTAGGTCTCTGATGTATCTGCTCATAAACTTCATGATATGTTCTAAAATATTCTATTCTAATATATTTCTAAAATCTATCAAGATCGTCAAGGTATAGTAAGGATGGCATTGTAGTTTTGACTAACCTGGAACACTTGTCACTAAACCCAGGACAAGATCTATTTCCAGCCTTAATTTGCAAATTCGTGATCCCTTTTCATGGCTTCTGATTTGCCCTTTCTCTGGCGCAGTTGTTCTAAACCGGACGAGCTGTCGTCAGTTGTTGCAGCGGAGATAAATAGCCGGAGAATTGAGTTGTAGAACGAGACTCGTCCATTTCGTTACACGGATTCCTCACCAAAAAGTATCCACGACCTATGTGAACAGGAAAAAATGATTTTGAAAGCAGAGATTTCACTAGGAGGGAGTGGACTGTGTGCGAGTTCATCCAAACGTCTTGATGACCTTGATGAAAGTATATGACGTATATGCTTATGAAAAAACGGTAGTGTTACTCATACATCTGCTGGTTCTTACTATTCTAACCATAGTTACTCATCCAATCTGTACGATAGGACTATAGATATGATATAACCATTATGATGCTGTGATATTTGCAATACTTCGGACAGCTGGTACCTGTGGTGGAAACTGAACAATTTATTACCCTTTCCAGGGGCTAACGCGTTCACCACCGCACTACCCGAGTCCTTGCTTTCGCCTTTCTGTCAGCTGTTTAGATAAGATAGACTACCGTCTAGAACTCTTCCTTGAATGATTGGACATTCTCAAAAGGGCAGCGCATTCAGTAAATGGTTTAATTAAACTCTAAACATCGCCCTGAATCCGATTTGAGGCTTTTATTTTTAGTCATTGCCTCATTGAGTTGGTATGTCTTTCAAGCGCACTTCATAGTTTTAGAACTTCAGATGTTTTTCCTTTTCAATTCCCCGCAATGTTGTCGTGCTTTACGCAAGGAATAGGTATGAAAAACAAGCTTTGTGATGCTGAGATATTTGCAGATCTAGGATTCCAGGCCTGATTTCATTGAATAAAAAGTTAACCTTCTGACTTCAACTACAGCCCCAGCTTAAATTGGTTTGATGCCGATTGCTGCTGGCCACATCATTCCCATTGACGGATGACTGCTGATGGCACGGCTAGGTAGAAAACTGATTAAGAGAAAAGCAATGCAAGGTGCTCAGTGGTGCAATGAGTAACAAGTGAGCCCCCAGAAAGGGTAGCTGCGAGTTCAAATCTGGCCGAGGTTCCAGGTTTTGCAAATATCTCTCCATCATAGTGGTTGTATTTCACGTCATACCCAGCCGTGAAAAATTTATAGTACGCAGTAAATAAAAAAGCTAAACATTACGAAAAGATACTTTATAATGTCATTCTGAATTCCCAGGACGGATCCGTTGTCTTTTAAACTCCCTTAGAAATCGGACCGGAAACCAATTTCGTCTCGTTCCCGTTGGCGGTGAAGGCGCCGTCGTGACGACAGCCATTGACGGAGGGGTGCAAACAGCCCTCCAACCTTCCACGATCGATAGAGACCAACTACGAGTTCACTGACGAGGGTTCGAATTCCGGTCGACATCGGTTAATTCTCTCTACCAGTTATAAATGTAAAATTCACATTCAGTAACACCATAACTTTACAGCGAAGACACTAATGTGATGGTGACATTTATGACGAACATCTTCCTCAGAACCAGTTTCTTTTCATTGATTACATTATCATTCCAAATATTACTCCTGAACTTATACTCTCGAGAAAAAATAGAGCTTAGAATTGTGGTCATCTGAAAATTCATTACCGTAACCAAGAGAGTCGTCTTCTCGTGTCAACATAAGGAAGAAAAGCTGTTTGCTTCGTTGATTCGAAGGAAAGGAACTAGTTCGAGTAATCACGACTGCTTTCGCTAACTTGTAATCCTACAGATGACAGAGCCAAATCTTCATGATTTCTCTCTTATGAATTCAAACTCTTATCTGCTTATGATTTATATGACTTCTACCGTGGGCTTTTTTTATCCCATCGCGACACAGAATTTTATATCTGGCGGGACTTTACAATGGGGCACAAGCGATAAGAGTGCAATGACCCATTGAGAGCAAAGACCATGAATTTTGAAAGTTGTCTTCCACCACAGC